CGCCCGCCGCCGCGGCACCCGCAGCCCCCCGTGGCACTCGCCGTGTTGTTGCAGAGGTGGCCCAAGCCAGCACCAAGCCCCCACCAGCGCCTGGGACCAGCACGCCGGAGCCCACCGGTAAGAGSTCGTCGCCACTCCGCGTGCGGCACGTGGGGAAACGGTCTGCTGGCCGCTCGTTTGCTCACGCGGAGCAAATAAACCCATGCAACCTGGGAGACGGATATCTCAGGGAGACCCCAAGGGACCAGGGATGTCCCAAGGTCCCGTTAATGCCATCTGCAGCAGTAATGGCGCAGTTAAACCTCACGTGCTCATGAGAACAACGGGATCAGGAGGTGATTGCTGCATTGGCGCGGTCCCCTCGATGGGCATGTGGGGTGAGAGGATGGTGAGTGGCGGGTTGTCCTCTCTACCCCATGTACTGAAGGACAGGTCCGGATCATGCGGGCGCTGGTGGATGGGATGGTTTTCAGTTCTGCGGTGGCAGGTTAGTGGCCCTGCTCCGTAACCTGGTGGCCACAGCAAGAGGTGCCACCACGTAGCTGGCAGAGGGAGCAATGGTGAGCACRGACACCCTGGCAATGCTACGTGCAATGGCAAGAGTTGCCCTTGCAGATGGAGCCATCATCTCTCCAGTTAAATAGGCACAGGAGCGATGTGCTCCCTATGCAGTATGGCTGCYGGGGACTCTTTGCCACAKGAGGTCCATAAAGTGACGTCCCGAKCAGTAACGAGTTGCTCTCTCTGTCTCCTCTTGCCAGGTGCTGCCAGGCTGAGGCTGGTGGATGGGAACTTCAGCTGCTCGGGGTTCGTGGAGCTCTACAGGCAGGGGCTGTGGGGCGCCGTAGGGGCCGACGCGGGCGCCTGGCCTCRCCTGGCCTCCCGAATCTGTGAGGCAGTGAACTGCGGCCACTTCGCCCTGGAGCACGGCGCCGTGCCGGAGGCGGCGAGCCACTTACCCGTGCGGTGGGAGATGGAGCAGTCCTGCCAGAGACCCTCGGTCCTGGACTGCTTCAATGAGACGAGGGACGGCCGGGGCAAAGCGCCCGCCTTCCTCATCTGCTCCGGTGAGGACGCGTGCCCTTGGCACGAGGGCCACCTTGGCTCCGGGTGCTCCCTCGGACAAAGCCGCCAGTCCCGCGCCCGCAGGTTGCTTGGTGCGCACTGCGGCACCCTGAGAGGCTAGGGGAGCACAGGGTCAGCATTCGGGGTGCTGTCCCTCTCCTGCAACACCCCTTCTAGCTTGGGCAGCTGCTGGAGAGGGGAGGACACATTTACTCCCTAAACCAGACACCCGCCTTGCAGCCCCCTTGCTGCAGGCSCCGCAGCCCTGGGTGAGAAGGGATCTGATCCTGCCAGACCCCTCGCTGACGGTCCCCACGGCTCTCCAAGGCCCACGGCCGCGCCGCCACGCGCAGGCACCCACCCGCTCCCACGCGTTTTCTCTCTCATGCGACGAGAAAACAGGAAACGTCCCTAGCACGCTCAGTTCCCGGCAGCAGCCCCCTCGGGCCGGCTCCGGCGCCGCTCTGCGTTTCAGACGCAGCAGCTCTGCGGTGCGCGCGTAGGGCAACACGGGAAAGAGCGGGGTGCAGAGCGCCGGCGCTGACCCCCCAAAGCCAGCGGATACRGGGTGCGGAGGAGCAGCAGCCTGCTCCCGGGGAGCCGGCGGGACACGCAGCCCCCGGCCGACGCTGCTGTGCCTCCCTGGCGCAGGCTCCGAGCCCCGGGCCGCGCGGCGGCTGGCGGGGGGCCTCACGCCGTGCGAGGGCCACATCGAGGTGTTCCGCGGGGAGCGCTGGCAGGCGCTGTGCGACGAGCCGGCGCGGCGGGCCGAGCGCGGCCGGCAGCTGTGCCGGGAGCTGCGCTGCGGCCGGCTCTCCTCCAGCGCCGCGCTCGAGGAGCCGCCGACGCTGGGCGTCACCTGCGCCGCCCGCAGCCTCCACCTCTGCGCGCTGCGAGGAGCGCTCCGGACCTGCTCCCGCACCAGCGTCGTGTGTAAGCAGCAGCGGGGACATACCCATTCACGTGGCGGGGGGCACACGGAGGAGGGGGGTCCGCGTGGCAGCTGGCACCAGGGGGCCCAGCACGGCCACGTCCTTGTCCACACGTGCTCTGTTCCCCAYCATGGGCCCGGAGGGGGTGTTTGGGGCACCGTGGCGCTGGCCCTTGCCAGAATACAGTGGCCCCAGCTCATGATGCCCATCTATCCTCTCCCCAGGCCAGGACTCCAAGCCGCAAGCTGCTGGCCTGGGAGCCGGCACCATCATGAGCATCCTCCTGGCTCTGGTTCTCTTCGGCATCCTCCTGCTCATCTGCGGACCCCCTGCCTACAAGAGGCTCATGAAGAAAAGTGAGTGCTGAGCTCTGCGCTTTGCCTCCCGGCACCGCCACGCGCACCCGCCACGAAGCCTGCGGAGATGCAGGTGGTTTCCCAGGCCGGCCCCTGGCAGCAGATCTCTGCAGCTGGGACTAGGTGCTTCCCAGGGGATCATCCCTGCCCCAGGGTTCAGTGGCACAAATCCCTTTTTCCCATTGTCTCCCTGAGCAGCACTGACATGGAAAGCCTGTGGGATCAGGCGGCGCTGCGTGTTCCGCTCGCCGCGGCAGGATTAAGCGTGGCGCGCACACAAAGGAGCAGGTGGAGCGTGTTCCACAAGCCCTGCGCTGCGTCCAAAGGCTCTCACCACGTGCCGGAGGGATTACCGGGCACAGCAGATTATTTGGGATGGCATATGGAGCTCGTGGGCAGCAGCCGCGGGGTGGAAAGCAGCCAGAGGAGATGCAGCCCGTTTCTGGCAGAGGAATCAGGCAGCTCCTTGGGGAGCTCTGACAGGTCCCGTCTCACCCGTCCCCCCTCCTTTCCCTTCCAGTCTCAAAGAAGAAGCAGCGCCAATGGATCGGCCCCACGGGATTCAACCAAAATGGTGAGGGGCACATAGGGGCGCTCGAGGCGGGCAGCGGGGTGGCCGCAGTCCCTCCCTGCACCTCTCCGAGCTCCCCGTGCCGGCCGGCAGCCTCCGGAAGCTCCCGGCCACGGCACTGGGCTTGGGAGCTGGCGCAGAGGCCACTCTCGCCAAGCTGCCCCGGAGCACGACGCGTGCGGTGGGCACGGCCTCGGTGCGGATCCGCCACTCCGGCTTCCTGCCGCTGCCACCGCGGTGACTCACTCGGAGCCCCGAGCCCCGCATGCAGCCCGGCCCCTCCGCGCCGCCGCTTCGCCCAGAGGCCTCCAGGCTGGGGTGGAAGCAGAGGCCACTTGGTGCCCTGCCTTGCAGAACGCAGGATGGGAGAACTTCCAACCTTCTGGTGGCACCCAGAGCCACCTCCTCGGCCCTTGATGCTCACTCCTCCCTGCCGTCCGTTGCAGTTTCGTTCCACCGCAACAGCACCGTCAACCTGAGGCCGCGGGCTGAGGGGCCGAGGGCACAAGGAGAGGACAACGACTACGCGCAGCCACCCAAGAAGAACCCCTACCTGTCGGCTTACCCGGGTAAGGCACCGCGAGGAGGACGCGCGGCGATGGCTTCTCCGCGCGCCCCTCCGGCACGGGGAATAATCGGAGCGCTGGCGTTGGAGGGAAAGCCCCGTCRTGGTGAGACGCAGCCGGTGCTGCTCTCCATGCTGGGCAACGTGGTGCTCCGGGGCTGGACGTCTGGCCCCGGCCCTGCCGCCTCGCCTCGGACCCAGGGAGGTAGGGAGCACACCGCAGTCTATTCCCTTCACAGCTCTGGAAGGCGCATCGCAATCTTCCAACCCTCCGGACAATTCCTCCGAGAGCGACTACGACCTGCACTCCGCCCGCAGAGTGTGACTGCCCTGCGAGCGGTAAGGCCCTCTCGTGTGCCTGCCGTTATCTCCTCATCCCAAGCTGTCTCACGGGACACTCATTCACACGAGGGCTAAAGCGAGTCCTGCTCAATTAGCCTGCCTGTGGCKTCGTAAGATTTGGCTAACATTAGGAAAAAAAAAAGGAATAGAATGGACAAAAGAGAAGAGAAAAACAGAGAGTTGTGTCAGAGCCTCAGAGCTGCCCATGCGCCCCGCGGCTGGACGTCATGCTGAGCACTTCATTCCGAGCCGCCCGGACTCGGCGCTGGGAAGATCCGTACSCGTGGCACTGACCCCAGTCGCTCGGCTCTGCCCTAGCCTGGCTTGGCTTCGCGCTCTGCTATCGCCCTGGCAGCTGGGCACCTTCCCGAGAAAGCTTCMTCTCATCCTTTCCAGACCTCCCACCGGGAGAGAGCAAGTTTTGTTGGTGTTGTTTTAAGCTGTTCCTTGTTGTTTTAAGCTATTTGTGAGAATCTGAGAGGCGCACGGATAGCCCTGCAGGTTACCTTCCTCCCCGTGTCTCCGAACCGGGACGACTGCCCTCCTCAGCCCAGCAGGGCCTGGCTGAAAGCACAAACCCGCCGCTGTCGCCAAGGCTGTCGGACAGCACGGGAACGAGCTTCACAAGGACGACGGCCACCTCCTGGTGTTTGGAGCCACTCGGCCAGCTGGGAAGCCGCGCGCTTGGCCGCATTCGCTGCTCGGTAGAAGCCTAGATGTTTGCAGGGGTGGTTTGCTTGGGACACTCGCCTGCGCGCACGTGGGAGCGGGGCTTGAACGACTGCGCGTGGGAGAGCGGGAGGTCTGTAAAGCAGAGACACGTGAAGAGCATCAGAAGGGAAAAAAAATGCTGAAAATGAACCCGAGATATTTAATTAGAAATAATTGTTATAATAAAGTTGGTTTTCTAGTAATTATGCCTTGTTCTCTTCCTTCCAACGCTGCAAAGGCCATTTCTTAAGAGCACCAACTTGCCAGCTAGCGAGGGAAAATAGAGAACAGGAATGACAGCACGTAGGATGCACGAGAAAAGGCCAGAGAAGGGAAGAGATGGGCTGATAAAGGACTGATYCAACCGGCCCCTTGGGAAAAATGAGAACAGAGCAAGAAAGACGGCCCTGCAAGAGGGTGAGAGACTCCATGGACAACATCAAGAGGAAGTCGGTGTAAGAACACCAAAAGGGCATTTAAACCAAATCAATAAAAAATAGCAAGTGGATGCCACATCATTTCCCCAAACAGTCACTACCGTGACCCTGCAMGCAATTTATCAAGTTTTATTATTGTAATTAACCACAGATATGGTATTTCCATCAAATCCCAACGGCATTCATCTCGCTCTAGTCCATTAGTAATCTTTCCTTATCAATAACTTAGGGGGATACAAGCAGAATTCAGAGGATAAAGTGCTGAGCCAAGCTAATCCTATTTCCATTAAAAACCTGTCATTCACTCTGCTATCTAGTGTTTCCTGAGGAGCAAAGGGAGATGTGAGGAACACGGGCGCCCTTAACAGCCTGAGGAACCCCCTCCCTTTCCTCCGGGACACGAGAGGAGGGAGAGGGAGGCTGCTGGGGCCTCGTGTATCACAGAACTCTRCGAGATCAGTCGTGAAGAGCTGGAGGGCAGGCCCCACGCGTCACTTCCACCCTGTTTCCCCCGAGCTGAGCTCGACGCGGACCTCAAGCCCCAAAGCAACACCCGCTCCCCAACCACCACCCCTCCGGCACAGCGCAGCCGGGTGTTGCGCTCCGGGCAGGCACCAGAGCCCCGGTGCCTCAGCGGGATAGCGCCCAGCGCAGGCAGGGAAGGCTCCCGTGCTGGACACGAGTGGGAAAGAGGCTTCCTTGCAAGCAGGAAATACTGGGTGAGCCCCACCTCTGCTTTGGAGTAGRCTGGTACTTATGATGAGGAAAGCCTGACCTTGCAGGCAGCTGGAAACGGCTCAAGTAGGGCTGGTTTGGAAGTTATTTCGCACCAGCATAAAAAAACCACCAGATATATCTCAAGGCCTGGCCAACAGGCTGGCTAGCTGCTGCTCCCTGCCAAACAAACTACGCACTGTTTGCCAGTCTGGCTGGCGCTGTTCCTCACTTCCAGGAAGGCCCTAGGGAAGCAACGAGTATTTAGTATTAGAAATTCTGTCAGAAAATTCCCACTGTGTCTTTTGAGCACCTGTGAAAAAAAAAAAGCTTAGAATTATTACACTGCATATGTTAGAGAGGAAACTATAGGTGTACGGAGAAGAGCCTCTCGCTCGCCCGTGCGCCCACGCAGCGGAGCCGGGCTCTCAGCTGACGTGATCCGTGCGTGTCCTTCCCATTCCCACGTGTCCCGGCTGAGAACCCAGCCGACTGCTTGTGTTTTCTCTCAGAGTTAACTGCTTTTTCAGCGGCCAACAAGCAACCGTCACRACCAAAAAGGTGCAGCCTGGGGAGAGGGCACGAGCGTGACGGCCGCCGGGCGCCCCACGTCAGGGCCGTGCCTCTTCCCCTGGATAATGCTAACACCCATCCCCTGGAAAAMGCCGGGCCCAAGAGCACGGCGCTCAACTCCGTCTTCTTCCTCCGTCCAGGAGCAGGAGGAGCCTCGAGAGTCCGGATTTAGTAGCCAGGCCAAGCAGGGCGCTGCGGGTTCGGAGGYGGCGGGTAGCCAAAGGGAGGCGGCGGCCCAGACGGATAGGGAGGCTGGGGAGGGATTGGGAAACCCGGGAGCGGCGGCTGCGTTGGGTACGGGCACTGAGGTCTCCCCGCCGCGGGAGAGAAGTACGGGGGGTAGCCCGGCCTCGGGGGCGGAGGAGAGGGCTGCGAGGCCGGGGGGGCAGCAGGGGGGCCTCTGGACGGCGACCAAGGGTATCCGGGTGCWGAAGAGGAGCCTCCGCTCAGGGGCTTGGGATAGCCCGGGGCCAGCTCGGCAGGCAGCGCCGGGTAGCCGGCACCCGCGGGAGGCTTATAGGGAAAGGCGGGCTGGCCGCCGGGCTGCGAGGAGGCCACGTGCGGCACGGCGAGCGGCGCTCCGGAGAACGGAGCGGCGGGCAGCGCTCCGTGCGCCGTGGGGCCCGCCGGCTGGCCCGGCGCCGGGCTGTAGGGCAAGGGGAAGGGGGCAGCGCCGGGCGGGAAGGGCTGCGGCTGCTCCGCGGGCACGGGAGGAGGTAGACGCTGCTGAGAGTCTCTGCTCGGCTCCTGCGGCGCTTCTGGCTTCTTCAGGAGCTCCTGAAGCTTTTCGACTCGGACCCGGCGCAAGTGGGACAACTTCCTCATAACGGAGAACTGCTCCAGAAACGTCTCCAGCGGCACCTCACCCTCCAGGAACTTCTCAGCCATATTCTGGAACACAGAACAGCTTTGGCATCAGTACTGCTTCCCTCCAAACCTGGTTTAGGATTTACATCTCTGCTGGAGACACCTAGAGTGTGCCACACRAGAGCAAAGAAAGGACAAACCTTTTTTTTTTTCCAGTAACAATGTCAAACTACAAAGAGAGAATCTTTGATTTAAGGCATTAGGCTTGGGAGCATAACTGTAAGTCTTCAAAGACTAATCACTTGAATTATTGATGAGTTTAAACCTTAAACTCACCTCCGACTCTTCTTCGATTTTCTGACTTTCCACCTGCAGAAGATCCAGCAAGGCCTGAGGATGCAAYGCTGCTGCAAAATTCTCTGGGGGAAAGAAAGGGAGGAACAGAGTGAAAAGTAAAACACAAAATAAGGCAAAGTCATCAGCACATAACCCTGTCGTACAGCGCCTGAACTAGTCAGCTGGCTCTGCAGCTCTGCTCTGCAATGGGAGGCAGACAAAGCAGCAGGAATGATCCTTGTCACATCTCTAAGTGGGAAACTCTCCTAGGAAGAGCCTTCCTGCCTTGGAAAATGCTGATGTGAGGAGAAAAACCTGAAAAGAAGCTGAACTGCAGCTGCACTGAAAGGGTTTTATGCTGAGACAGCATCTTTAATTTGTACAGGGTGGCATCACAGAATCACAGGATGGTTGAGGTTGGAAGGGACCTCTAGRGATCATCTAGTCCAACCCCCTGCTCCAGCAGGGACACCCAGCAGGGACACYCAGAGCACAGGGCGGCATCCAGGCGGGTTTTGAAGACCTCCAGAGGTCTTCAGATCACAGAATCACAGAGGTGGCGCAGCATTTGAGCAGGAAATGGTCACAACAAATGCCACCCTGCTTGTCCAAAGAACTTAGTCTGCCGAAGAACTACGGAACTTCGAACTGAGCCTGCTCAGTGCCACCAGTTTGGAGGGAGGGAGGGAGGCAGGAAGGAAGGACACTGCAGCGACTCCAAGCGCACCCAGTCCGCAGGACCTCGGAGGAAGGCGGGCAGGAGGTGCTCACCCAGTTTGGCCTTCTGCTCCTTGCAGCGCTCAGCCAGCCTCTGCAGCTCCTCGTACTTGTTGGAGAGGTCGGTGCGGCCCGTTTCCAGCGGCGCCTGGAACTTCAGGTTCTGCTCGGCCAGGCTGCGATTGGCAGCAAGGGCCATCTCCCTTTCCAGCTGCAGCTCCTGAACCTGGGAGCAGAGATCCAGGAGCCAGTGCCGGGCCACACGTGGCAGCCGCGTGCCACTGGGCCCTGCAGCAAGGCGAGCGCCTACCTCCCGAGAGTCCAAGGCCAGGCGCTCGATCTCCTCCGCGTTATCCTGCAGCTCCCGGAGCTCCTCCACRGTGCAGTTCCTCAGCGTCTCCATCGTCTCGGAGGAACTGCAGACTCCTGAGAGGGGCAAAAGGTGTCAAACAAGAGCAGGCTTTCGACGGGCGGCTCTATGCAGACACCASTGCTATCAGGAATTATAAAGCAACTTTGCTACACTACTTGAAACAACCACTCCAAGGAAGCTCCTTGCTATAAAAGTGGGGGGAACTGAGAAGAAAAACACAGCGTTGCTAATCCCTTCTCTGGCAGCTGATGGTTTTCCTTTTCACAGTGTACTTGCAAGGATTACTTGTGTCCCAGACGTGTTTGCCAAGGAAACACCTACTCAAATCCCTTTTATACTATGGCTGTGTCTCTCTATCCTCAGCTTCCCGCTAGCTGGCTTTTTTTCCCCTCTTTTCCGCACCATTTTATTCAATAATCGTATTCTGCTACGCAAACCTCCCAGATAGGTGTGTATCCATCCCCACCTAGGATCCACAAACACTGATGGGATCCCCTTTGTCACATGTGTCTTGGCACCCCYTTAACCCTCCGGCTCCTCAACTCCCGCCTCATTTCACACGTTTCCCTCCTCGCTGCGCGGTGCCAGCACGGCCGCTGCCTCCACAAATAAGGCCSTTTAATACTGAATTTAATACTGAAYACACTCAACGTGATTCGGTGCTTGCCGTTCCGAAAGCCCGGGAAATATTACTGAAATGGCTGCAACAACAGAACTGCGGCACCACTCCTCTTCGGTTAGAATATTTCAGAATATTTTCAGAATATTTCAGAATATTT